AGATATGACTTCAAAACCGGAAGAAAAGTTGTCGAACATGGTTAAAAGCTGAAACTGTAGGCACCTTACACAATCCCATGAAAGTGACGGAAAAGCCATGTAGTAAGCAAGTTCGTCATGAGATTTTCAGCACCTTGCGAAAACTTTGGAGCGATGATGAAGGGATGGGTAGATGGATCTTTCCACGCTCTACAACATATCCAAAATCTGTCTTAGGCTCTCTTGAGTTGATATCAAAACAGGAGTCTCGATGATGAAAACGCGCGTGTTTTGCAAGTCAAAAGTTGATCGTTCTCTACATAAATGGCAACTAATTAATATGACAGACGATGCAAGGACCATCGCGATTGATTGCATATTTTAGAACACGCTTCGCGCTATCGAGTGGAGTATCCCTTGGGTGATTCCTGTTGAATTTTCTGGGTAAAAGTTTCCGTGAGAAAAAAGGTAATAGAAAACGCAGTTTTGCTTGACAAGATCGTCAGTGATCGAAAGTCCAAGTCCAAGAATTCATGAGAGCATTGATGGGAAACTCTATAAATCTGGATTCCGGGGTAACTTTTCATGCTCTACAAGATGGCTTACTCCGTTTGGATGATCAAAATTTTTCGGCAACGTCTGTATACATTTTTGGGTGGTTTTGTCGTGGACTCCCTCTTAAATAGTTTGTCGTCGATGTACACGCTGAATTTTCATTTTCTTAGCGCTCAATACATTTATAATATTATAAGTCGCGACTATTTCATAAGATCGTTCTTCATTTTTGAACAGTTCATTTACTAGCTTTATGTGTTCATACGCTGCATCATGCTGGTTGTCACACGCATATAGTCTGCCTAGTTCAATATGACTATTTGCCACTCGTTCTTTCTTATGACCAGCTTCAATTTCATTATCGTTTGAGTGAGGTTTATTATATTTCAACCTACTCTCGTGTTGCATTTTCTGATAATCAATTGCTGAATGTACGTCATTTTTGTGTTGTATAAGAATTTTAACAATCTCGTTAAGACAGAAGCTGATCGAAGTTTGATCAAGTTCATGTTCTCTCTGATATATCCAGTGCCACTTTATAGCTATTTAGCATTAGATCGTAATTCTTCGTTTTTTCACAGTAATATGCTAAAATTGTAAAGCTGTCAGCAATTTCTGTATTTCCATATAACTCATTTTTTGATATCTTTTGAATATACTGCTGTTTAAAGTCAATCGCCATTGAACCATATTTTATCATCATTTGATCATCTTCCGATTCTGATTCCATTTGAATAGCACAGATATTAGCTAGATGATCTAGTGTTTCAGATAGTTCATGTTCACAGAGAGAGTTGTTATATGCCCTCTGATAATACATATGAGCTTGATCGAAAATCTTTCTAACTATGTTTTTTCCAATTCCCATCCGTTCATGACAGATACCAATTAGAGTATAGACATGACCGATATCAATAGAACAATTTAAATCATTATCTTCGACGAAAGAAAGCCAAATCGTTAATGCCCGATCGTATTTCTCCAAAGCTAGTTGGTGTTCCTTTTTTCTATAATGTAAATATTGACCGTGATCATAAATTCTCACTGCTTCAATCCATCCTTTTTCCAAGGGATATAAATTCATCAGTTCATAATAAATAATCTTTCGTTCAACAGGTACTGCGTAGTACATTTGCAGTTTGATCCTACTCAGACAGTTTTTAAGATTTCTTCTACTGGAATAATCTTTGGCCGTTTTGAGATCTCTTGGTTCAAAATCGTTAATTAAGATCAAGTCAACAAAAAAATAATTTTCTTGTTTGTTAAACTCGATATTTCGAACTTTGAATTGGTTTCCTATCATAAATAAAATTTCCACTTCATCTTTAAACTGGCTTTGTTCACGAATGTAAGCGTATGGTAGAGTTCTTTTTCTTATATCAACTTCAATTTGAAATAAAACATTTCTAAGAAATGAATCTTGTTTCAATCTTGAGTCTTGAAACATTAAAGATACCTGGCAATCGAAAGATGAAGAAAACATAGTGGTATTATAAATATATGCATCGTATTCTAGTTTTTCAATGTCGAATATAGGCATCTGTTGACCACGAAACAAAGTTAAAATTGGTGAACCAGAGATACTTTCAATGAACGGTTTTTGCGCTGCTTTAAGCTGTTCATATAAATCTTTGATAAAAAAACCAAATTTAAATAGAAAACTAATATTTTTTTGACGAAGTGCTTGATTTAATAAACTATATACAAAATTCTCTGCTGTGTAATAATATATAGCACCTTTTGTTTTATACTCTTGTTCAAAAATTTCAATTTTCTTTAAAGTCGTATGTGGTTTCAACAGGGGTATTAGTTTTTGCAGCTGATCTTCTGGATACGATAAATTACATAGAATATCGATCAATTCTGGGAACCATGACTGGAATGAACCTCTAGCACTGTCACCAAATCTTTCAATATTTAAACCGCATGGTTCTTCCGAGAATAGATAGAATCGAACATCTTTTCTAAGATCTTCTAATAGATCTTCAAGTGTGTTATAGACAAACTGTTTTACCTAAACGAAAGAAGCGCAGCCTAGAAGATTATTTACAAAAGAAGTTTGTGGATCCTGCTCCTCTGTTTGTCTGCTATGAGTTTTAATTACCTTTTGATATTTCGAAATCCAGTCTGAACTCTGGTTGGAAAGAAGAGATTCGAAATTCTGACGTATAATATAAATTAATAGAACACTTTCTTGAGTATGTATTTCTGGAATAAAATCTTCGGCGTGTTGCTCAGATACAATTACGAATGTGTTGATAGTTTTTGTTTGTTCAATATTTTTTAAACATTCAGCACTAGTATCAAAAAGTTTTACTGATTCAATAATCGATTGTAAGTGGTCGATAGTGACTTCCGTTTCTGCATTATTATAAAAGTTAACATCGTAGCAAATTATTTGATTTGGCTTAGGCATGACATTTTCGGAATTAAGAAATGCAGAAGTAGTTGGAAACAACCCTGAATCAGCGCCTAGGAGTGAGCACTTTTCCAAGTCAGCTACACTGTGCAAATAAATATTCATTTTGAAGTAAGTGGAAGATGGTTTATGTGTTTGAGAGAAATCTGTTAAAATTTTGTGAATGCTAGCGTCAAAAAAAATACAAAGATTTCTTTCTTTTTGTCCGTTGTTTTCCACGTATTATTTTTCTAGTTTGTTTTATAAAAATGTCGCTGTTAGAAGAAAGGGCGATGTTCTCTCTTTGCATTCTGTAAAAATGCGATAATTTCCTGTCTACCCTTAGGCGAGAGAAACAGAAACAGTTCTTTTTCGTCGTCGTTCATAAAAAAGGAAACAACTGAAAGAAAAAATGAATATACGAGCTTAGGTAAAAAAAACAGGAAGAGCAAGTAGTGATGGGCCGTCGTGTAGTCGTTAGACGTTAGTATTGATTGACAGATAGTGAAAGGAAAGAAAAGAATGAAAATTACGGTACCGCTATAGTCGTTTATTCCGTGCATGGCATTTCGCTATATTCGAATATAATGTAACCTGTTCTGTGCCTTACGTCTGAATTTAGAGCTCACCTACTTGATAACTAAACGAAAGGAAAGAAAAGTGTTACGTAAGAAACGGTAAAAACAAAATGGCAGCTTAACGTCTAAACGAAATGTGAGATTCTTAACGTAAGAAATAAATTAACGTTAAGGAGTATAGGACAAATGACGACGCTAAAGACATGAAATAGTATAAAGTGAACAGGAAGAAAATACATCGTCTTGTATATAGTACTGTACTATCGTGCGGCATGATTCATGCTTAGGCTAAGTATGTATCAGTATAATGAAACTCATTATGAAAGTATACTATGCATAAAAAAATCATATTTCACTGTTAGTCCATGTATATTGTTGTATAATATTTTTTTTGTTAATATGGAAAGGCACGGTGACAGGTGTCACCTGCAGGAGAAAGGATAAATGAGAAAAGGAAAAGAGTGGACAATGACATATATATATATATAGCTAAACCTGTTCATATTTCTTATAATACCCACATCTAATTTTATACTTTTCTATCCTATGTCGTCTTTCTCTGTTACTACTAACTCTCCTCTAGTCCAGCGTCACCATCACTCAGCATTCCTCCAAGTCCATCGTCGACTACAACAAGTAATACATCGATATCGTTTACACCCAATTCATCAACAGCAACCCAACGAAAAACTGTTCGTGCAAAACGTAGTCATGTGTGGCGTTATTTTAAATCAAATAATGACAATACAAGTAATACAACGTGTGTACTTTGTTCAACAGTGATAAATCGCCAGTCAACATCCACATCTAATTTATTTCATCATCTTGAACAAAGTCATATTCATGAATATCAATGCATTATGAAAATAATGAAATCATCGAGATCATCCAGCATTCCTCGATTACGTCTAGATAGTCAACGTGATGAAGACTTAATCCGATTAGCAGCTGATCTACTTATTCGTGACTTATTGCCATTATCAATTGTTGAAAGTCCACAATTACAAGCTATTTTCCATCAGGCCGAACCATCCTTTGACTTACCCAAATGAAAATATTTTACGACACATGTATTAAAATCAATGTATGACAAAACACGTGTGGAAGTTAATCGTGAATTAAAAAGTGCTCTAGGTAACATTAAAAAACCACTGCTTTTCATACTCTGCTATAGAAAAGTCTTCTAGGTTGTCTTCTAGATTGTCATACTATCGCATCCTACCCTATGACCGACTATAACTAAACTGACGTTCGTTTTTTCATAATCAGGTATCTGTCTAACCACCGACAACTGGTCATCAGATTCAAATCAGGCATATATAACAGTCACAGCTCATATTATAACATGCAATTATGAACAGAAAAATTTTGTTTTGGAAACAATTGATTTCACGGGAAACCATACAGCTGATCGAATAGTCCAGCATTTACAGGATCTGGCAATTGAATGGCCAATATTTGATAAAATTATTTGTTTAGTCTCGGATAATTGTGCAACAATGGTTAAAGTTAGTCGAGATTTTAACAAAGGTACAGCTTAGTTGAACATAATATCTTAATTGACGCTCTTTTTCCGATCTTCTAGGATGATTCGGTTGTGTTGATCACCGAATTAATTCCTGTTGTCATGACGCTTATAACTTGAAAGAAGTCTCTGCTGCACTATGCACAACACGAAAACTGGTTTTATTTGTGCGCAACAGTCATTTAGCTAAAGAAACATTAAATAAATATCAGATTAGTAATGGTAAGCTGACTATTGATTAAACAAAATTGGTAAACCTCTTCAAGGTTCTCCGTTTATGTCGGTTCCAGGCGAAATGATAAGACAGTTAACATTCGGGATGTTCGATCTAGAGTAGTTCCTGGTTAGTTTTTTTTAATTCCAAGTCGGTGTACTTACGATTGGGTCAAGGAGTCAGGGTGGATTGCGTTATGGTACGCGTAAGAATGGTGATCTGCGTTGAAAGTTGATGTGCAGTTGGTTTCCTTTGAGAAAGTTGCTTCGATTTCTTTATGAAGTGAAATCTATCGTTGATAATACGGCTGCTATTATCACTCGTGATGCGATTTAGGTTGCGAGAAAATCTATCTAAAACAGAAGAGCATTCTTGACTGAAATACGTGTGTTTCGTAGAGCAGATGGTCAGGTATGCAGTTCTTTGATGAGAAGGGACGCCAGATAGATGTATGAAACGAGTAGTCATCATTCGTACGATAGTGGTTGATTCATCTGAAGGAGAAGAAAATTGATCTGGCTTTGTTCCAACTGGAGAAGCTCTTGATCGTTTCATTCTCCCTGTTTGGCTTGTGCGAACCGTTCTTCGGCGTCGATATTCTCCTGTTGTTCAGTTTGATCCCTCAGAAGTTGGAGGTGTTTGAGAACGCAAAGCCTTCGAATGCATACAGTTGCTCTTGCTCCCATCTGTCTCTCGGATCGATTGTTTCCAAGTTGTATGAGTTCAACAGTATCTCCCGGATGGGAGAACCACCTGATTCTGGCGTTTGATCACGAGTTTCCCATAAGGTCTCGAATGTTTCTTGTGAATGTCTTTCTCTCTGGTGTCCTCGAGTGTAGCTCGTACGCGGTGGATCGCGAGGTGGTGATCTAGGAATCCAACGTTGTCGTTCTCGCTCTCGCTGCTGATGTATCATGTCTTGTTGTCGATCTCTTTGTCGCTGTCGTCGTTGGCGTTGCCTTCTTCTAGCGAGTTGCCTGGTGGTCGGTTTCTTATGTGGCGCGACATTTTGAACTGACCGATTGCGTTGACTATAAACATTGTTGTCGTGACTTCCAACAATGGTTGACTCGTGGTGACAACGCGTATGTTCAATAGTTGATTAATATTCGTCTTAGTATGCCGGTTGTCCACCGAAGATTCTTACGGCATGCGATCGAGTTGACTATCGCTGTCACACATTCTATAGAAATGTTCAAATACGAGAAAGCGAATCATCACACTATTCAAGCATTCTGTTTAACATTAGAAATCGTCTGAGATTCAGAGGGATGCAACACAAGATCGTCTGGAGAAACCCAAAGAAGTATTTTGTATCTAAAGTAATGAAGTAAAAGGATGACTGGTCTTCTCACACAAAGTCACTGGGAGAAGGAAAGGTTAATCAGTGAACCATTCAAGAAAAACTAATTCGTAATTAGTTGAAGAAAATGAAACAGAAACATTTCAATCACAAGAGACGCGTACAAAAAGGAAGCATCTATGAGTTCTAGGTTCTGTTCCATTCGTCATCCTTATTGAAGTGTTGAGGGATAAGGGTGAGGGTGAGTCAAGCTATCATGATCTAGATTTGGTTCTGACAAAAGAACTTTCCGAATGGTAAATTATTCTCAATGATCAGGAGATCACAAGAAAACAAGTCAATTCTCCGCAAGAATTATTCACGAAAAATGATGTCTGCATCTGCCAGTGAGTTCAGGGAAAAGTTCGTTTATTGAAAGGAATGTTGCTATAGGCATCTCTTCCGGAAATAGTGTTCTTTTTTCGATTTTTTGGTCGTAAGTACCGAGAATCTCTGTTCTGGAGGGTAAAGGATTTGGCATAGATAACTTTATGTGAATTATCAGTAGAAGACGTGGATTATGTTATGATTGTAATATGTTTTTATACTCTTTGGAGTGAGATATGGACGCTTTTATGTAGCGATTTATTCTATCTACTGGTACTCGTTTTGTCGTCTAACTAAATTGGCAACGTGAAAGAAGATATGCTGATAGTTTTGTCATGTCTCTCGCGGTCCCTTTGTGTAAGTTACTTAGCTGTCACCAAAAGTATTATCTATTCTATTACAATACTGTATTGTGATTTCTTTTTTAGATTATTTGATAAACACTTAACACTTCTTTAGCATTGACAATAACTTGGTTATTAAATGTAAGTAACTGATGGTGACCTTTTATCAATATTCTATATACTTTTTGTTTTCAAGGTCACTTGTTAAAATAATATTAGTATTTAAAGTTGTTATATTATTTTGGGCAAATCAAACAGTTTGGAGTTTAATAAATGTGCCATCGTTAGCAACGACTGTCTTCTTACCAAAAGATCCATCTGTAAGTCCTTTTTATGATCCATATGTAGAAGCAATACTTCATATGGATACAATAACATTGATGAAAATCCCCGTAATGAATGATGATGAATTTATGCTAAAACTCACAAAAGGCGTTGACAATATGACTGGTGTGTATAATATTACGAGCTACAGTTGTGTTACCTAATCATTACTGACGTTTATTTAGGTTTGCTGACACAAAATCCAATATTTGATGATAAATTACACAACCAATTAGTATCACAACGAATAATTGAAAGACAATGGGAAGAACTGGTAACATCTACTCCTATGACCATAATTTTGTAGGAAATTTGTTAATATTAGCAAGTCAAACAGATTTTGCGTTCAAAACCATCCAGTTCTAATTATATTTTCCAGCACATTAAATATTCAAATTCGTTTCTATACACAAACCTTCAATGTTATACCGACGTTAAGTTGGTTTAGCATAGGACTTAAAAAAGCTGTTAGCATTGTAATTAAACCATATCAACTTATTGGTTGTGCTATTGGTCTTTGTGGCTCTCAGCTAACAGTTGTGAATAAGTTTGCATTTCAAAATGCGAAAAAATGCAGAATTAGCATTAGCAGCATTAAAAGAAGCTGAGAAAATTTATGATAAATATTATCAACAATTATTACAGAAACAAAATACATTAGCAAATAAATACTGGAAGTATCCGAGTTAAACATGGACAAAACTGATCCGGAAGAAGTAATTAAAATTCTTATCGATGCAACAAAACAATTATCGGGAATTAAAGAATAATGGGACAAATTAACTAGATTTTTTCAAGCGTTAGCAACTCAGGCACAAAGTACACAAAGAGTTGTTGTATATAAATTTGTTGCCGTTATTAATGCACTGCAAGATGATGGCGTTCTTTTTGGTGAAGCTGAACGTGAATTTTTTATACCATTACTAGTTGAAACAACCGGTATTATTGATCGAGGTGCACATTCGCTTTATATCATGTCAAAGACGTACTATGATATATGATGAATCAAATAGCAAGTTTATCCGGTTTATTGATAATACAAACAAATGCTGAACGAGAGACTTTACTTAAACAATTGGCACAAGATACTTTAGCAACATCAGCAAAAGTATCTAGATTAGCCCAAACACGTAAGTAACAGTATGATGAACGAAATGTAGCACGACAATTTGCATATGATCAATTTATTCAACTATCTTTAATTGACGAATTAGAAAATATTGTTGGATAAACTATTCGCAACTATAGCTACTATCGTATTAAAAACATTGCCATGGTTGTTTTTTAAATAACTGTTCAGCGAATACAGATGGAAATCTGCCGTTGAACTAGAATACTTGAGGCATCTTTTGATAAGCAAAACGATTTTAAAATCGTTCTTTCAAAAGATATGCTAGGCGATCTTTAAAAGGAAATAGGTCATAGCCCAGAACGTTCAAATAGAAGCTGATTGAACCTTTTGTGGATAGATAGTCCAGTGTCCTCTTTAAAACGTGAAGCAAACGAAACCTTGATGTTTGGCGGTTCGAGCAGAATATCGGATTTCATTGGCGCCCAAGGACTGGTACCTGATGGCTTGGGACAATCCTTGGAATCACATGGAACATACATAATCGACCCGTAGACGCCGTGAAGTACAAGAAGTAGGAAGGGGGTTCGCCGATTTCGAAGTAAGTCGAAAACTTTTAAAAATAAGAGTAAATATCTGATTTACCTAAAACAACGCAAGTTTTGACACACAAAACGCTCTGAGGCATAGCTTCTTTGCATTTAAAAGTGAAACGTACTGATTTTTATCGTCATGGTCTAAGCAACTGATTGAAATCTGAGCCTCAAACTTCGACCTTGGAAGTAAACTTAGCGGACACAGGTATGTTGATACGAAGAGTCAAGAATTTATAAACGTAGAAAATATTTTCCTGTTTACTCTTAAACCGAGAGTATTTATAATATAATGATTAACGAACGATTGCTTATTATTCATCATCAAATCAGATCTCAGAGTTTTCCCTTTTCATTTCCACATACTGTTATCCTTATTAGCATACGGCAGATAGTATTGATGGTTGATCTCAATTTCAGAACAAAAACTTATCTGATTTGGGAGTAAAAGATTTGAAGAAACAGGAGGGTGGATTGCTCTCTCTAATTCTGTTGTCGCGGCACTCCTGAATTGACCACACAAGATACTTTAGAAACATCAGCAAAAGTATTAAAATCAGCCCAAATACGTAATCCACAGTATGATGAACGAAATGTCGCACGACAATTTGAATATTATTTGAATTTATTCGACTATCTTTAATTGATGAATCAGAAAGTATTGTTGGATAAACTATTCGTAACTACAAAGTTCAATACCATACATTATATACGTCCTATCAACAAACTTTTGCAGGAAAAGTGCCTTCAGGAGCTCAGTTTGGTTTACTGATCTAATTGACCACGTACATACCGGGTCTCGACTCAAGAACACACAAATCTAAAATAAAGGTGTATTATCTGAACAAACTACCTTGCAACAAGTTCCGATAAATGAGTCGCTGGTAAATATCGAATTTAGACATTTAAGCCAGTTCGTCTTTGAGTCTTAATTCCATCCAAAAAGGAAAATTTGATGAAAATTTGATATATGCTCTCTGTATATATATACATATATGTTGTGGACAAACTTAGAATTCGGCCAGCCCGAACTGGAATTCCGCTTTTGGCCTGGCCAAAATTAGAATTCCACTTTTAGTCAGATAGATTCCAGAGTTTGACCAGCCAGAGTTAGAATTCCAGTTTGGGCTGGCCAAATTCAGAATTATTCATATGCAGACATTTTATTCCAAAGTCTAGCTGGCCAAATCTGGAATCTGGTCGAATTCTAAGTTTGACCACAACATATATATACCTTTGAAGAAAACACCTGCAAAGGAGTGCGAGTTTGTAAAACGGCAAAGCTTTTGAGTACGTACAAATGGGTAAGAATAAGTGAAAGGCAAAAGAACAAACGAATAAAAACAATGGGAGCGCGACATGAGACCAAGTACATCAATATTAACAAAGAAAGACCACTTGTAGTGAACGATTGATAGGAACGTGGGGAAATACCGTTAAAGAATTGAGAAAGAGAAGTGCCAGTTACTAGTGCCAAATGTGCTAGGCTAGCTAATTCATATTATTCGATAATATCGTACAATACTGTAGTGCGGATAAGGAATGCAGCTACGGAAGATCAATCCTTCTAAAGTAGAAATTGTTTTCCTTTGGGTTGAATCTCTTTCCCCTCGCGTATTTGACAGGGTGACCTAATTTGTCTTCGGTTAAACCGGCCTATTTATTATATTCTAATTGCAGATATTCCTGTTTCGGCTCAAACATATGAAAAGTCTATAACAGTAACCATAATACGTCAATGGAGTATTGTCTGATAATGTTTACAGGGTGGTGCATAACCTTTTGCTAGGAGGGTACAGCTTCAACAACAAATGATATAAAAATGAATTACATACTAAATAAAAGCTCATCGAAAACGGGATTAACGGGTATAACTGGTAATCCATAGGTTGATTATAAGCTATAGAATTACGGAAGTTTCTATCTGGAGCGTCATAAAGAATGATATTTTCTACTTTTCTCATGTTCTTTTATAATCCTAAGATTAGTGTGTCTTTCAAAAGATGCGCCACGAAATACTCTATAAAACCATACTCAAACTTTAGTTTTAGACCTTCATTCAAGAGAACTATGTAAATTATATGAAAGGCGAAAAAACTGAAAACTTCCTAAATTTGATTTGTTTTTTGACTAGAACTTTTTTCTTCTGCTATCATTTCCGTAAAAAGTGTAGCAAAAGTGAGCACTCGGTTCATAATGTACATTTGAATATGTTCTTTCTCGTGGTCTCTGAAAAAGGGTTTTACAGCAGATGGTGTGCTGGAGAACGATGTTTCAAACATTTCTCCCTATTTTCAACAACGTGCCCAAGCAAAAAACGGAAAACGCGATCGACGTTTTGATTTTATAGTTAGGTGGTGAAGAGCAATCATTTCTGGTCAAAGCAAAATAAACCCGACGGAAAAAGCTTTTGTTCTGATGAAGTTATAGCACTTTTACTGAAAGTAGCATCATACCCAGAAGTGACACACTCGATAGAAACTTCCATAATTCTATAGCTCATAATCAACCTATGGATTACCAGTTATACCCGTTAACCCCGTTTTCGATGAGCTTTTATTGGTATGTAATTCATTTTTATATCATTTGTCGTTGGCGCTGTACCACCCTAGCAAAAGGTTATGCATCACCCTGTACACAAATTATGTTACTTCTTTTTCTTTTTATCAGCTCGATCTGCTGCTTATTTTTCGGCTAAATAAGTACCGTGTTTCTGTTTAGAGATTTGCGGTTCCGGAATCCGAACTGCGATTCCGGTTCACGAGTTAGAACCGAAACGAAAAGAACCATGGTTTCGATTCCAAATCAAGAATCAGAGCATGAACAATTACAAGTATACTAGTAAAAGTATTTGAACTTGAACAATATTACCTGTACTTGTACTTTAGGTACATTTTAAGTGCATCTCAAATACTTCAAGTATTTCTTGGCTTTTACTTCTCGTTCAATGTTTTGCACCTTTGAACTATAGTAATGTGGTGGTCCGAGTTAACAGTAAGTTATAGGGAATTCTGCAGCACGGTTCGGATGATTTCTTAAGATTTCACTATGATTCCCAACAGTCTATCAGATGGCATTCTTACTACTATTTATTTTCGCGCTTCAGAGTAATTTCTTTAATAAGTATACACAGTAAAAAATATTGTGTCCCATTTTGTGTCGCAGTAAAAAGGATCGCAGCTCCTGTGAGAAAATTGTGTAGCAAAAGAAAGTGTCGCATAATTGTGTTGCCGTTACTAAGAACTTTCAGACACAGTCCTTGAGGTCATTTCAGGATCTGCTCTCTTCAAAAAATTGCTAAATTTTATGTTTTACTATTTTCAGCAGTCTTCATAAGTATTTGTCTCGGCTTCTTTTCAATTTTGATGTGCTATATGTGGCGCTAGTACGTAAAAGATAAAAAAATTTTCGAACTTTCTAAGTGTTTTCAATTTCGAATTGGTGTTTTTAGCGGATAAAGATCCCTCTCTTGGTCTTTTTCAACTATTTTCTACGTTAAACATTTTTTCTCTAATAAAAAACAACCAATCAGAGGCCTTGACTACGCCATTACGCCCAGATCTCGGAAACTAAATATTTTGAAGGCCTGTGAATATTACCGGCGGATGAGCTTGTTGACATTACGTAGAAAAGTTAGAATGAACATTAGAAAATGTTAGAAAAAAACATTACGTTCAAAATGAACTAAAAATATTCTTAAAATCGAATAAGAGATCGAAAATACTTAATTTCTACTGTTTTCTCTATGGTAGAAATACCCAGCGGAATGTGTCGCAGCCTGAACGGAAAAAATGTGTTGCAAGTGGCTCCCGGTGTTGCAGATGATTGTGTGCGCAGAATATGTCGCAATTTGCGACACATGCGACACATTATTTTTTAGTGTGTGATTCCATATTTTTGTGAATGATAAAGAGTAGTATATATGTGAGATAAAAGATTAAAGAAATCATAGAATAAACATAAACAACATAAATATAAAGTAATAAAATAATGTAAAGCCATATCTAATATTGGTAGACATATACTATATGAGATACTGTAAGTTTAAAATTAGATCACTGCCATAGTATCATGGAACTAAGTGTAGCGCTAGAAAACTAAAACAAAAAATAACTTGAAATGTACCTGATAAAGTACACGTACAAGTGTACATTCCCAAGTACAAAGTACAAGTAAATTTTGGAAGTATCGGTATTTGTACTTGGTACTTGTAAAGTACAAGTACACATATCCACGCTCTGCTGAATACTATATGCTAATGAGATTAGGACTCCACTAAAGATATATTTCTTCAAATATTTCATCAAAAAAGATGAGCAAATCATAACAGAACGCATTTAAAGAACTTTTTAAACAGTAAAGGTTTAATGAACTAAATAAATTTTTGTTTTATAACCGTTTTTCTGTAACGAAGAAGCGGTTGTAAAACAAAAATTTATTTAGTTCAGACAAGTCGAAACGATTCAAATGGTGCATAATACACTTCAAGACATGCTCTATCCGATGGCATAAAAAATTTTGTTATAAAGTTCAAGCGGAGTGGAAAACCAGCTAAACTAGTCTGAAAATAGCGTCATCCGCAGAAAATTTAATTTTAAGTAAAAACGGAGGCTACAGTAACCGAATGAGTTGTAAATTATGAATCCCCACATCATTTAGTACACATAAGTAAAAATAATTTTGAGTTTGAATGGGTGATTACTGAGCAAAAAACTAAAAGTTTTTCCTAAGTGGTTTTCCGAACTGCTAGTTTCACTAAAATTTGCGCGCCCCCTACAGTCCAACTTCAAATTTGTCCAAAATTTTATAGAATGTTCTTCTACATGCCCTCTATCACCACAGTTAGCATAAATTAACATAAACGTTCCGGACTTAGATAAGGGTTTTTCAAAAACTCTCGCTTTTGCAGGTATTTTCCATTTATCCCGATCCAGAAATGTTTCTATTCAATAAAAATAACATATTCAGAACCACGGCAGAAACTGCATCGAATGATGTGCGATTAGTAGGTTTTTCTGAGCAAAACCTTGTTGGGTCTAACGAAACGCTAAAGTCGAAGCATAGCTTAACACTTTTGGCTAAGGATTTTAATATTTGCTATAGAAACAATCCGAAAGCCTGCAAGCATCTTTTTTATGGTCTTTCAGATATGCTCTTTCCAATGCTGCGCCTTATAAAGTTTCAGAATACTTATGTGCGGGTTTTCTAGACACCCGGTCTCCGTAGATCCCAGATGAAATTCTCTCTGAACTTTGTAAAGCACACTATTGGAAAAATCTGAAAATCTATAAAAAAAGGTGTTTGTGGACTATCGGCTGTTTTTGTTGTGCAGCAAACACCTCTGCCTAGGAGTTGACAGGCACTTTGGGCAATCCAACCACGGGCTTTTCTCAAAATCAATAGTTTTGCCGGAAACGGGCATTTCGGCAACTTTTGTCAACCGAAAATGAAAATGTTCAAAACAAAAATTGATAAAGTAACACAAAAAAATGAGAATACATGTTCAAGTGTTTAGTCACTTGTATTAGATAGCACTATTATGGTTACAATTAATAAAGATCATAGAAGTTTTAACGATTTTAGTCGAAAAGGTATGAGAATATCTGTTGTCTGCTATCTGAATCCACCGTCAGTACGACCTTC